GGAATGCCAGAACAATCATCATAGATCTATTTATAATGGTTTTCACGTACAATAGATATTGTGCACGTGGGAATCCTATGAGATTTCAAAACTGTTCGACACATTTATAGCACAGAATAGCTGTCATTGTTATTCAAAGATTGCTCTGATTTTATGTGAAATAGACTTTATTACTTTGTAAATAAGTGTTAAAGTATTTGCTAATTGCAATAGTATGTTTATCTTGTTTACAAGCTAGCTCATGTAATATTGGAGACTTTAGGAAATAACTTAAAGAGAGGTTTTAATGTATAAATGTGTCAACACATATTTAGTACATTTGTATAATAATATTACACTATTATGTTACACAATTGTGATTTTTAATAATGGAAATTTTAATGCTATCGTACAGATATGTACCTTGTTAATTCGATTTTTACTCAACCATTGAATGAATGAATTAAAGAATGAGTATACTTTATTTGGATTATACAATATAGGAAATAAGCAAAACAATAAATATAACGATACAATTGTATAAGTATAGTAAGGCGGTCTTATTCCCTTAGTCGCCTCTTACAATACTCACGGGAAAGGAAGAAGTGGTTCATTCTAGGACGAAACGGCAATGGACTTACTAAAGTGACACTATTTTCACCTATCGTCTCTCATTTGTAAATCAATTGCACGTATGGAATTTTCATTCCATTTTTATCCATCCAAACAAACTAACATTTGAATGTGTTTCAGTTAAAAATAGATACTAATGATTGGTTAGCAGTTTTCCTTGTTACACACATATAAAAAAGTTATTTTTTACCTAAGATATTTATACAACAGCCACTTTAAGCTATTTCAGTATATTTATAATTGAAGCCGGAATATCACAGATTTGAAGTTTTTGTTTCTCCACGGGAACTCCTATTTCTCTGTTTTGCCATGATCTTACATACACACATAGAGAAAGGGATAGATAAAATTGGAATAGGCATATAATGTCTACATATCTAAAATCTAGACGAGGGACAAATACCCAAAGAGGTCGTATTCTATTCATGTCTATATTCACAACTTATTGAGCAGATGTAATGCGGATTTCAATTCGAAATTAGCGACCCTTTCTGATGGCAATTTCATTGATGTTATATTTATAGACAGAGCAATTTGGACTGTATTGATAATTAAATTTATGTTTAAAGTTGGACAATAAAACTTTGTAATATGAGCGTATTTATGTAAAGGTACACCATCATATTTCCAACCGACCTTTAATGGAAGAAGATTCTTAATTCGTTGTATTTTTTTTTGTTTGTTACCTCATAACTTCGTCAGTTGTAAACCCATTTGGGAAGTTCTTTTTTATTTAAAAATACTTACTCATTGGTCCTATAAAAATTGTATCGAAATCGGTTTAGTATTTTAGTTCTTAAATCAAAATAAGTGGTTTTGCCATAATTGAACTTGATTATCTTATTGTGGGACACAATCTTTAATTAACTTACTTAAAATTGTCAATTTGCCGTTTGTGAAGCAATTTTGATATTTTTTTTATCATTAACAATATTTACTTCAACGTTGATTCATATTAATTCTATCATTATTTCTAAACTAAAAAAATAAATAAAATTTTGCCATATATTATTATTAGGATTTATATTCAATTGTTAAACCTAGACAAATAACATAGTTATATGTACATACTTACCTAACTATTTCGAATTTTTTATTTAATTATTTATACGCACCGTCATATGGGCTGACATGTTCGGATAGCCGTGACGTCACATCTGCGTATTTGATATAAACAAATCGATTTCACGCATCACATGCGCATACGCACTAATGTAAGGGCGACTTTTAATACTAATGTATCATTTTGCTGAATAGATATAATTTTATGAATTTCGACATGACGTATCATATCGTACAATACATAAGTTTCATTTTACAATAAAATTGAAATTGTCATTGAAAGTGAAAATATATATATATAGATATTTCGCCATAGTCGTAGAATACTGACGGATCTTTATATGTAATATTCGTCAGATCCGTCAGTATTCTATGACTATGACGATATATTCATGTAACACAATTATTTGCGGTTAATTACTATGAAGTTTGTCACGATGTGCTAACTTGCTTTCATTCTCACCCATCATCTTTCACTGGAATGGGCTAGCATATACGTTTAGCGTAAGCGGGACTACCCTCACATCTTCACCCATTAAAAAACATTGGCGCGTTGAGCGGCCTGTATGTGAGGGAACGCGGTCAATGCGTAAAACACCTGTATGTTTGTCCCACTCTTGTGTTTGTACTCAAGCTATATTTGCTCGACTGCCCTTAATAATTAATAATAATTTATTTACTCGAAATGTGGTACAAATGATCTTAAATGATAACTGAGCTACACATTTCGCCTGGCAAGGCATGCAAATTTTGTCTCAGCAAATGTTCGTACTTTTTAGTGTTTTACTTTAGGTTTGGAGTATGGGATACGGCAGTGTAATAACAAAGCACAAGGGAAAAGATCTTGATCTTCAAGATTAGTAGAACTCTCGTGTATATACATTTTAAAAGTGTATTTCTATAACATCATTTCTATTCACAATCGACATATAGGCAAAAGTTTCCACTAGTAATCATCACCATAATTTTTTTTTTATACAACTTAGAATAGCAAACTAACTGACGGCCTTCCTGATGGAAAGTAATAACCGTCGCCTATAGACATGAGCAGTACCATGAACATAACAGAGTATACTGTTTCGCTCATGATACCCCCATGCGTTGCCATTCCTGAGGACTCGGGTGTTATTCCTCTGTACCCTGTAAATTCATCCCATATCCCACCCTTCAAACCGAAACACAGCCATGCAAATACAGCTGCTTCACGGTTGAAACACGAATGGGACAGAGGTACCCAAGCAATCGACTTTCGTACAAAGTCTCCCTCAGGTTTATAGTAGTTAGATTTTACCATAGATATTCACAGGTATTCAGATAGGCCGTCAGTTTGTTTACCATTTTAAGCCTATTTAAATCTTTGTTTACCCTATAGAACGGTATGACGTATTTAATCCGCCATATAGGCATCTGCCATGGTTCACCTGATAGGCAATAAACATCGGAACGTTCAGCGAACTCTGAATTCCAAACCTCTGAATATTTGAGCGTATGTTACTTGTACGTGCTTTGAAGGACATATAAAACTTTCATATAGTAAGCCACATTTCATTTGTAATTTAGATTTTTCTAAAGGATTGAGATAGCAAACAAGCATATAGTCCACCCCATGTTAAGCGGATACTGAAGCCTATACGAGGTCTGTCCGGAAAGTTCGTATAAAAGTGTTCTGGAATGCGAGAAAGAGGAGTGGGGAGGCCAGGTAAGCGCAGGACCCCTTCCTTATTGCGTGCGGTGCGAACTGGCTTGTCACGCCATCTGTGAAGTTACCTCTTAACGAAACCCCGTCGGCATGGAGCCCGCTTCCGTTGAAGAGCAGCGCGTCGTAATCAAGTTTCTCTCGAAACTCGGCAAGAATGGCCGTGAAATTTTTGCCGATCTCAGAACAGTTTATGGGGATGATGCTGTGAAGGAACCAACCGTCCACAAGTGGCTAAAAAGATTCAGAGAGGGCAGAAAGAGATTCTCATCTATTACCCTTTACTGGGCCGAGAAAGAGTTCGATGTTCGGGGGATTGTCCATCAAGAATTCGTCCCTCCAGGCCAGACAGTTGATGGAAAATTCTACGTCGATGTGCTCAGACGCCTCAAAGCTCGTGTGGCACGAGTTCGTCCAGAATTGGCGCGAGAGGGGCGTTGGATTCTTCACCACGACAATGCCCCTGCCCACACCTCTCTTGTTGTCCGTGAGTTTTTGAGTAAAAATTCCATTACGGTGACCGAACACCCCCCTATTCGCCGGATTTGGCCCCGTGTGACTTCTTCTTGTTCCCAAAAACCAAATTGGTACTTCGGGGGCGGCATTTGGGGGACATAAATGAGATAAAAAAAGCTACGACGGGGCAGCTGAGAAACCTACAACCAGAGGACTTTCAAGGAGCCTTCTCACAGTGACGAAACGGCGTTGGCACAAGTGCATTATGTCACAGGGGGAGTACTTTGAAGGGGATAAAATTGATTTACCTGAATAATTGTAAAATAAAATTTTTAAAAAACTTTTATACGTACTTTCCGGACAAACCTCGTATAGGTATTTTTAATAGGACAAAATTAAATAGTTACCCCGCCTGTGCTAGTGGCAGTTAAATCCCATTACTAACAATCCCTTTCCTCTCAGTGTATATCAAAGGTTCTGTGATTTCTTAACCTTAACTGGAATCTTATTCCATAACGTACGCATCCCGGGAAGGGAAGAGATTATTATGGATAGTCTGATCGACCTTGGCGCGATCTATTCTGCAAATTGTCGTGGTTAATTCCTGGGAAATTCGCTACGATTCATCAAGGGACATGACTTCATTCTCATCTATCATCATTAACTTGTACCCACCTAACATATATCAATAGCACTAAAGGTGTTACCAGGGGGGAAAGGGATGGTTAGTAATGGAGACTGAGAATCCCATTGCTAGCAATATACCCAAACAGGTCGACCTCCTCGCGGTTGTCCCTGGAAACTATCGTGGTTAATTCCTGATGAATTCATCATGATGGGCTAACTGGCCTGTTTTCATTCTCATCTATTACCCTTTACTGGTGCTCCGCCAGCGTATCCCATTAGCCCAGGCGGGGTCACCATACCATTTTCATCCCAAAAAAACTAGACATTTGCGGAAAGAAACTGTTCTGTTTACGAACATATAGGTTCTAAGGTTATAGTGAACGCTTTACGAAGCCAAATAATAGAATGATAAAAGACGACAATAATAGTTACTTCTGGTTAAACTTCTAGAAATTTGGGTTTGGTGTAGGTAGCTTATGAGATCTTAACACTAGAGGGCGCCATCCTCATAATTAGCAATATTATTTAGAAAATAATGAAAACTTACCATCGAAACACGCGTACTTTATGTAGACAACGCCGGGCGGCCAGCTCACAGCTGGTGCATAATCTTGTGCCAGCACAAAACTGCAATGGTTTATGCCCGTACAGCTAAAACAAAGAATAATATTTTATTAAAACATTGATTAAATTTGAACATAAGTCATAGTAAAAAATTATAATCAATTTGTGTTAAAAAAAATGGATTTCAATTGTGACAAAACCGGTTATTTTTATTTAAAAACAAAACTACTGATTTGTTTTGGATAAAATTTCTATGGTCCTAATCTGTAAGTAAAGGCTTTCAAATAAAAAAAAAATGCCAAATCGGTTTTAAACTGACAAAGTTATTATATGAGACAAACAATTTTGATTTTTTTTTTATGACTAACAATATTTACTTCAACATTGATTCCACATTCATTTTATCATAATTTCTAAATAAAAAAAATAAATAGAATTTTTCCATATATTATTATTAGTATTAATATAATTGAATATATCTATTATTGTTAAACCCAGACAATAACACAGTTATATGTACATACCTATTTCGAATTTCAAATAAAAAAAATCCAAATCGGTTTTAAACTGACAAAGTTATCAGATAACAAACATAAAAAATACAACCGAAATAAGAACCTTCTTATTTTTGAAATCGGTTAAAAAGTTATGAGAAAATTTTATTAACAATCAATAAAAAATCATTTTAATGTGTCGATTTTCTACTAATTTCATTTAAAGATTGGCGTGTGTTTATTTTAATAACACTTGGTTACTTTTTAAGCTATAAGTAAGTAATTTTAAGTAGACGAATCTTCTTGAAGTTTATTGTTAGTTATAATAATATTTTGTAGAATGCATAAAGTCCATAAAAAATACATTATGCCCAGGAACTTTGAGAGTAAAAACCATTACAAACACTTAAAGGAACCTATCAATTCACGCGGCAGTAAAACTTTTATTAGTACTACATAAAGACATTTGGGTTGCAGATTTATGGTGGCTACATGTATACGGCCTATTTTCCCACTTCTACTGATAGATAGAGTTTTATATACCTATCTTAGATTACATAGATAGAGCATCGAGTCTCAAAAACGGGTCAATTTTATGTCAGCTAATTTTCGAATTTACTGACCCGTTTTTTTTTCATCAGTGTTCGTTATACTTACACATACAATGTATCTTGATGTGTTATTTCATAAATAAAATTAATATTTATGTATTAAAAAAATATAAAAATTATAAAACAAAACAAATATAGAAGTTATAAAGCAATCACTCATAACTATTTATCACGCAAAAATTGTATGAAAAATTTGACCCGCTTTTCTTGAAGCATTTGTATGGAAACATTCTATCTATATAATCTATGATAACTATATGCATACTAGTTTTTACACATTAATTTACCTACCAAATTAAAAGTAACCATATCATTCATCCTCCGTCCCAAATACTGCTTGTATACTTAATTTCATATTTGTAAAAACGAGAAGTAAATATCAAATAATCTCACTTTCCCATTTATAATATTAATAAAAATAGTTGTTTATAAAAAAAAACCGATCAAATTCGAGCAGAACTCACGTACCGAAAGTTGCGTAAAAATTATAATTAATAAAAAATATGCGTTTTTTGTGATTTAACTACAAATTTACGGTTTTCGAATTTTTTTCTTTACTCGTGTTGTACAACATTGCTTTTTTACCAAATTTAATTATTCTAGGCCAACGAGAAGTACCCTACATGTTTTTTTTTATTTAACTTGGAATAGCAAACAAGCTGACGACCCACCTGATGGAAAGTGGTAACCGTCGCCTATAGACATGAGCAGTACCATGGACATAACAGAGTATATTGTTTCGCCCATGATACCCCTCATGCATTGTCATTCCTGAGGACTCAAGTGTTATGTTCTGATTCCCTTGCAAATGTATATAACATACGCTGAAAACAGTCGTATTTTTTATTGTGTTGACTTAAAAGTTTTGTTTTTTCACAGCTTCAAAAAAATATATAATACTTAAATATTTAATATTAATTTCAGCTTGATAAATTCACGAGTTTCTGAGAAAACAACAAAGTGATCCTATATAGGAACAAAACTACTATCGCATTAAATACAGAAAACTAGAATGTAACATTTGAATGCTATAAAAACGTATTGACCGAATGCCCTTTCCTCATCCAATTAAATGGAGTCACGAATAGTCCTACTTTAGTACAATGGCACCAATAAAAACGTGAAATTAACTTGAATTTTCAAACATTAACATCGCGTATTATACTCGACTGTCTTTCAGATGAGTTTGTTACACAGAGTGGACGCTTTTGAGTCTTATTTATCATATACGAATCATCTAAATTTTTCTACGTAGGTATTTTAATCTACTACTTCTACATTGCAAGTTCAATTCCCGCGTATACAAACATTTATATTCAAAAATATCTATTTGTATAGGTCTGGATGTTTTCTATCCATTTCCGTAATCAAGTTATAATATTAAATTAAGTTATAAAATTAAGATTCTGTTTAATCTAATATTTAACAAAAGTTACCATCATTTCATTAATCAAAATATAAACTGGCCCTTTTAGTTAATTGTACATAATAATGTCCAGCTATATAACAATTCAGATTTCTAACATTGTTATCAGTTTCTAACAAAAATCTGCAAAGTTGGCCATGAAATACATTTTTCAAAAAATTTCTTCTAATATTTTCTTATTAAAAAACTCGATTATTTATATATATGTGAATGATAAAAGATCCCAGAAGGATTTAATATCTTGAGTACCTAGTAAACGCATAAAAAATTATACAAGTCCAATTATGATTCAACACAAGTCGCTATTTTAGACCTACAGGACGAATTAGTTGTTGCATTATACTTGGGGCACCGATTTTTCCTTATCAAATACATAACATTCATAAATTCGACGTAAACAAAATTTCATTACCTGAATTTGTCACGAAATATCATCCAATCTTTTGAGTTACCATGAGTGGGCGATAAAAGGAATAGCTAATGTGTGTTTCTTGATTACTAAGGGTGTGCCGCACATAAAATAGAATATACCAACACATCTACCTGTGTATCCCAAAATTATACCGGGTTTGAGAAATTCAAAATATTTTTTTTATTTTCATTAGTCTATTCATGTGGTCTTTAACATGCACTTTAATTGTCCAGTAATTAACGCCATTATCACTGTTTGGTCGGTTGAAAGAGATCTCTTTCAGAGATAAGCTTACCCTTACTCCTAATATTTATGTAATTTACAAGTGGATAAAAAAAAACATTTTTGGCTTATGTTATGTTGAAGTAATAACTATCATGATACATATATATTATACAGCTGTATAAATTAATGGATATATATTTGTATACGATTTATGTCTATTTTTTTTAAATTTTCAATTTCTAGAAAAACAAAATATTAAAACGTATCCATTTAAAAATACGTTACACTACGGTGTGACAGCCGGCCGCTGTTGAAACATTTTCAATGTACAAGTAAAATTCTATCCATTCATAGAATGCTCGCGTAAATGTACTTGCCGGGTACGTGCGCGTATTAATTAAATCTACTTGATGCGTGCTGTAGGTTTATTAGACACATTGTTTTCTGTAGATGACTGTACGAAAGTTTGTTTATCAGTATCTATAATTAGAGATGGGAAATATCTGATATCTATATATTGAGTTCTTTTGAACATTGATGACCATTCATTTCGAGATCGCCCATACCAGTGTGATATACCCTCCCCCCCCTGCCCTTATCAATAAGCCACGGTTTCATGCGCGTGAACTTTTGAATATACACAGACATGTTGGCCTGTTTATGTATCAAATTTCATTCAAATTCGAGATATTCATTTGTAATTACTAATTCACATATATTAATACTTCCTGATTGTGGGAGGAAAGTAAAGGATTGTTAGTAATGGGGATATATATAGCTTCATTGCTAGCAATATACCTTATTAGTTCTACCTCCACACAATACACCCTGAAAACCAAGTTGGTTAATTCTTCTGGAATTAGTCATGATGAGCTAATTGGCTTGCTTTCATCCTCACCTATCATGCTTCACTGGTGTTCCATCAGCGTATACCGATAGCGCAGATGGAGTTACCATTCCATATTTAACCATAGAATAAAACTACCTAGTTGTATCTAGACTTTACCTGTACTAATTAATTTATATATTTACACTATTAATCTAGGATATGGTCTATGTGTGTACTAAAATTAATTTAAGTCTGTCCAGCCGTTTAAGTTCAACACACATAGATAGACAGGTAGATAATTTATTTGCATTACTTACAGCACACAAATAATAATAAAAAAAATAGAAATATGAATAAAATACATTGTGTGTGTCCATTACATTTGCTACCATTTGATATTTTATTCGAAATAAAGAAATAAGTAACAGACACCATTAGAAGAAGTATAGTCAGAGGGCACTTTCTAGCACATTCAGGCATTCAAGCAATAAATATTTCCGCTACATACCTACTAGGTATGCCATTTTTTTATTTATTAATCTAAATATCTTTATTAACTTTCATGTTTATAATAACTATTTGTAGGATTATAATATTGATTTTACAGCAACTTAATATATAAAACTCTACTGATATGAACACTGCACTTGAATTACATGTTAGGGGAAAGATAACATCGGGTAATTTCCACGTTGCCTCGCTATGACCGAATAAAGATTACAGCACTTTGTATTAGATGAAGCGTTTTTAATAATAATATAAAATTTTGTCTATAACAAAAACTTTACTTCTATCGTGACAAAATTAGTATGGGAACAATTGAGAGACACAAAAATAAAAAATATAAAATTATATTCCACAAAAAAACGACTTAAATTATGACAAATTGTTTTAAAACATAAACTACTGAACCGATTTTGATAAAAGTTGACCAAACTGCAAGTATATCCATTCAGATAAAACAAATTCCAAACCATAATCCATAACTGATGGAGTTATAATATAATAGATATAAAAAAATCTAATTGAACCTTTTTTTTTTAAATTGATTGAAAATGACAATTTCATTAAAAACTTTCTCTTATTTTAT